TTGTTCCTTCTGCATTTTATAGTCATAGGATTCTGTGTTTGTGTGTATATACACACACATACACACACTGTATATATAAACTCCTAACCATAAGACGTTAAACCTCCAGTGGTGCCAGTTCATCATCCTCCAAATGCTCCCTGGAAAAGTTCAGACTTCTGGCAAGACATCAGGATGCACACTGATCTGACTGGGGTGGGGTGGGGTGGAGGCAGTCCTATAACACAAAGCTGCAGTTGAAACACTATTTGCTATCCCCTGCCCCTTTAACCTCACCAAAATGGGGGACTGCTAACACTGTAATTTCTTTCAGGAAGCACACACCAAATAGGTTGATTTCTACTTGGAAAAGGCAAGCCTGAAGGAGCCAAGTCAAGATTGACAAGGCTTGTAAATGCAAACCATGGTGATAAAATTTTCCATGACATATAAATTTGTATTGCATTGCTTTACCGTACTCATTCTTATTGCTTGGTATATTTAACATAAATATAATAAATAATAGTAGTAATCATTTGAGGAAAGAAGGAGACATTAGTCTACAGGTAGTCCCCAGTTTATGAACAAGTTCCATCCCCAAGCTCTGTCCTTAAGTCAAATTTGTATGTAAGCTGGAACAGTATGGGTTCCAGAGGATGCTGGGGGTTGTTCCTGCTGGTCTGCCACACAGTCCATCCAAAGCCTCGGTTGCCGCTTGGAATAAAGGGACAGCTGAGGTTTTGGATCAGATCACGACCATGCGACCTCTCTCCTCTTGGGGATCCTGGCACTCTCCATGGTTTACGGAAGAGCTGAGGGAGAGGAAGCGAAAGAAGAGATGTCTAGTGTCAGTGGCGCTTGATGAGGGACGAACTCAACTGAACATGGGTTAGAGTATTCATGCCTACTTAGTGGTGATAAGGGTGGCAAAGTGTCATTGCTCCTCCGCTCTTATTGCATCTGCAGATAGCTGCCCAGGGTAAGGATGGGTCGGAGAACCTTCTGCAGAGACGTGTGGAGGAATTTTCTTGGCATCTGTTGGATAGAGTTGCTCAGATTTGTTCGCAGCTGGATGTTGGCTTTGCTGCAGGTCTGGTGGAGATGCCTAGGGAGGAGTCTTGCTCTGTTAGCTGGGAATAGTTTGAACCTGTTGGACCTGAGGAAGTGGACAGGGTCCTTACGGCTGTGAGCTCAGCCACCTGCTCTTTAGATTCATGCCCCTCCTGGCTGGTTAAGGAGGCCTGGGGGTGTTGTGTGAGTGGGTTCTAGTGATGGTTAATGCTTTTTTGAGTGGGGGGTTGTTCCCTTGCCTCTTAAGGAGGCTTTGGTTTCCCCTCTCCCCAAGAGGCCATCGCTAGACCCCACTATACTGGACAATTTTCGTCCAGTATCTAACTTCCCCTTTTGGGGGAGGGTGATTGAGAAAGTGGTTGCGCAACCGCTTCGGAGGACTTTGGATGAAGCGGATTATCTGGATCCCTTTCAGTCGGGATTCAGGCCTGGGTATGGGACAGAAACAGCATTGGTTGTGATTTTGGATGATCTTTGGCGGGGGCAGGATGTGGGTTGTGCATCCATCCTTGCCCTACTTGACCTCTCTGCAGCCTTTGATACCATCGACCATAGTATCCTTCTGGATTGACTCAGAGGATTGGGGTAGGCGGCACTGTGTTGTGCTGGTTCACCTCCTTCCTCCGGGGCCAATTCCAGTCGGTGGTGGTTGGGGAGGAGAGATCCCGCCCTTGGCCCCTGTTATGTGGAGTGCTGCAGGATTCGGTACTCTCCCCCCTCCTATGTAACATCTACATGAGGCCACTGGGTGAGCTCATCCATTGCCATGGTGAGGTATCATCAATATGCTGATGATACCCAATTATACATTTCTGCCCCTGGCGAATTAAGCAGTGCTGTGAATGTCATCCCAGTGCCTGGAGGCTGTGCGGGTCTGGATGGGGAAAAACAAGCTTCAACTGAATCCTGGCAAGACTGAGTGGCTTTGGGTTTTGGGGCCTTCTGGTGCTAGGGCTTTGCCATCTTTGGTGCTGGATGGGATTCCACTGCCCCAGACAGACCCTGTGCGCAACCTGGGTGCCTCCTGGACTCATGACTTCTGCTTGAAGAGCAGGTGACAGTCATTGCTAGGAGGGCCTTTGCACAGCTTCACGTTGTGTGCCAGTTGCACCCGTTCCTAGAACGGGTGGCTCTACTCACTGTCACTCCTTCCCATTTGGATTTCTGTAATGGGCTGTATGTGGGACTGCCCTTGAAGAGTATTTGGAAGCTTCAGCTGGTGAAGAATGCAGTGGCACAGGCAGTTATGTGTGCCCCTAGAGCAGTACATGTTACACCTCTGCTCCATGCGCTGCATTGGTTGCCAATTTGCTTCCGGGTCCAATTCAAGGTGCTGTTTTTGACCTTTAAAGCCCTTCATGGCATGGGGCTGGGTTATTTGAGAGACCAGCTCGTCCCAATTACATCTGCCCGTCCTATCAGGTCTGGCAGAGAAGGCATGCTGCAGGTCTTGTCTGCCAGGGAATTACATTTGGTGGCTCCCAGGAGGGGGGCCTTCTCCGCTGTGGTGCCCACCTTGTGGAATCGTTTCCTCCCAGAAGTGAGATTAGCTCCATTCAACATTCTCCAAGTCCCTCAAGACTTGCTATGTGAACAGGCCTGGGGGTCCCAGGGGACCAGGGAGATTTTGCGATGGCTCCCTTATTAATATTATCCACTCCTATTTTGTATGCTTTTATAGTTTTTACTTGTAATTGTTTTTATGTATTCTTTTTAATTGTTGTACACCACACACAGTCACTTTTATGTGAGATGGATGGCTATATAAATATGATTGATAAATAAATAAATAAATAGTGTAATTAACTCAAGCCATTGTGTATTTAACTCGAATCATTGTGTATTTAACTCAAGTTTTGCTACAGTAAGCTCTGTTCTTAACTATGGGTTGTCTGTAAACCGGGCACTCTTAACTCAGGGACTACCTGTATTTATCTAAATTAAATATTGGACTTGCTTTTCATTATTGGGTAAGAGTATACCTGAGAACTTGATTCTTGAGATATTTACTGAACAAAACTTGTGTCTTCGGTGATTCATGCATTTAATTGTTATCATTATCACCTTCTGATTCTTTTTAAAGAACTGCGATTACAGAACTGAATTACAGTATTCTTTTTAGATATTTTGTGAATAAGAAAAATTGATAAGTAGCATGATTGAAAATTTTGATATACTTAGCAGTAGGATGATTGTAACCAAAATTTGTTCAGGATATTTATAGCTGATTTTACATATTTATTTGAACTATGTTTAGTATTAGCTGCAGTGGAGAAATGAGGGGCAATCTGAGTAGTGCAGTTTGGTTGTAGATTTTAGAGTTTTACTAGTTTGTTAAGAATTCATTCCTGTGATAGGACAGTCATGGCTACATATTAGTTATCATGGAATCTAACAACTGTAGGATAATTACTGACACTATATTCCTAATTTTGACATGAATTGCAGCAAATTGTGGCAAACACTTTCAACCAGTCTTTGGAGATAGTCCACTCTGACTTGTGTTCTGATTTGGGCTTTTCTGTCTCCTATGCATTCATGTGTGGGAATGTAGCGATAAAATTTGAAATTTTGGAGGAATTATTTATTTATCTGGAGGTGCTGGAGAAGACTCTTAAGAGTCCCCTGGACTGCTAGGAAGTCAAACCAGTCGATCTTAAAGGAAATCAACCCTGAGTGCTCATTGGAAGGATTGATAATGAAGCTCAAGCTCA